AAGTCAGATACTTTGCCTGGAGGATTGCTAACAGTGTTTGGGCTATCCAGAGGAGAGGTACAGGTGAGCCTGTTTTCTTTCTGAATGCTGGGAATCTTATAGCTCCAGGAATGGTCTATGGGGCAGGACCCCCTAAGACCTGGTTAGGGTGCTTTCTCTGGTGGTGTGACCAGAATTAATTGCTTCTCTCCTAGCCTTGTTTTTCATTCATTTGTCCTGTTTCCATCACCCCTTGTGTAAGCAGCACTGAGCAGATGAATGGGGTACTGGCCCCTTCCCTCTGGGAGATGGAGATGGAGGAATAGACGCTAAGGACGGTGAGTAAGACTCAAGGCTGGGTGTCAAGTGCCCAGGGTCACAGCTGAGAGAGAGACAGATCCCATCTGGGGGATGGGAAAGTGCAAGTGAGTGGGGGAAGTGCATCGTGAAACTGACTTTGGCACTAGGCCTTGAAGAATAAGGATTTCACAGTGGAAAATGACATTCCAGGCGTTAAGCATGAAGGAATTGTTCTTCGATGAAGAAGGGAGAGGCTCTCTAATTATAACTGACACACTGATTTAAACGTTTATTCACTCCAACCACACAAATATACACGCACATGCACACTCATAGCACAAACAGCAGGGAGGGGTGTCCTGGGGGGCTCTACCTTCAGCGGCAGCTGGAATCTTTCTTATTGAAAAGGTTTCTGCTTTTTGTGAACGGGTCTAGTGTCTGATGTCACACAGTACACTGCTACACCACACAGACCAGTGACTTGAGGTCTGTGGCCAAGCGATGATGGCCTGAGGGCTTCTGAGGTTTCTGATGTAGGTAAAGGCACCCTCTGCCTGATGTTTGGAGAATCTGGTGACTATTCCTCACAGGGTGCTGTGGGAGTTAGTTCCCCAGGAAGGAGGCTCTGGTTGGAGATTTGCTTGTGTATGTGGGAGGGCATATGGAGGAGTGCTCTCGGGAACAACACCTGCGAAGTAATACAGAAGGCAGGACTGGGCAGAGGAGAAGTTGAAGTTGGGTGTAATTGCACCAGAGGCTCAGTTAATCCTGCGGGGAGCTCTGGGGCTGGGATAGCCCTGAGAAGTTGTGCTGAAATTGAAGCAAGGAGGCAGGGCCTTTGTACTCCAGCCTTGACTGGGCACTGGTAACCAGCAGTCCATGGGGAGGAGATATGCCCTTGAGTGAAAGCAACTCTGTTGGCCTGGGCAATTCCAAGAGGCAACCTGGCTGCTGGTCTTCAGCAGCTGACACTCTGGTAGCTGGGGAAATGCAAGCCTCAGCTGGGAAGCGGGAAATCTGGGAAGTTTAGGATGTCTTCACAGAATCTGCTGCTTTAGGTCAAGGCCTCCGGGTGGGGGAGGGAGGACCCACACTGGCCACAGCAGTCTGGGACATGCTGGCTCATGTCCTTACCCCAGCTCCCTGATGCACCTCCAGGCACCTTTACTAACTCCCAGTTGTATTCGTGGATATGAGTATTTGCTGTGTATCTGGCTTTTGGTTAGACTTTTTTTTTGTTGTTGTTATTAATAGGTTTTATTTCTAAGAACAATTTAGGTTCATGGCAAAACGGGGAGGAAGTTACAGAGATTTCCCATATACCCTCTAAGCCCCACACACCTATAGCCTCCCCCATTATCAACATGCCTCATTAGAGTGGTACATTGGTTGTAATCGATGAACCTACATTGACACGTCATTATCACCCAGAGTCCATAGTTTACATTAGGCTTCATTCTTGGTGTTGTACAGGCTATGGATTTGGACAAATGGCATGTATCTATCATTATAGTATCATACAGGGTATCTTCACTGCCCTAAAAATCCTCAGAATTTTGCCTATTTATCTCTCTCTCTCCCCAACCCTGGCAACCACTGATCTGTTTATTGTCTACATAGATTTCCTTTTTCCAGAATGTAATTACATGTAATCATACAATACGTAGCCTTTTCAGACTGGCTTCTTTACTGGTAATATGCATTCGTTTCCTTCATTTCTTTCCATGATTTGTTTGTTACACAGAAGTGTTGTCATGATAGCTGACTATATACTAACCCTAGTTGTCCTTTGGAATGATTGGGGAGTTAAAAGGTGTCCCTATTCTCAGGCATTGCCCCCCGAGATTCTGATTTAATTTGGCTTGGTTTGGCTCAGGCATGGGTATTTTTTCAAAGCTCCCCAGGGGATCCTAAGGTACAGCCAGAGCTGAGAACCCTGAATCTAGGCCAACAAAGCCATAGCAGTCTATATCTATATGTAGTCATCAGGGGCGGGCCTAAGCAAAATTATGATGTCTTTAATACACAGCCTCTTGTTTCAGGGCTCCTTCTGCCTTATTACTACTGTCCCCCTCCCCATCAGCGTCCCCTCCATTTTTCTTTAGACACTTCTCTTCCGCTGTCTTTTACACCTTAGTGTGAATTCAGATAAAGGAGTTGCCTTCCCTGGGATTATTTGCAATTCAAACTTCATCTCTGTATTGTGAAATGAGAGACTTATCTCCTGTTTAAAGATCTGTGGGTAAAACTGGGCAGAAGAACAGAAGAGTTTTTTGGAGGGCAGGCAATTTATCCCCAATCCCTCTAAAACCAGGAAATCGGACCTTGTACTGGAGGCTGAGCGGGGTGGGATGGATGGGGCTGAGGGTCAGGCACTGAGGCTGAGGAGCAGCAGGCCTGTGACTTCCAGGGCAACTGGAAGATTAGGGAATTTATCAGACTTGTTTCCAGTGCACAGAAATGAGCAGGCTCCAGCTGTGCTCGTGGCCAGCCTGTGTGCGTCTCCTGAATGTTAAGGGGGGATGCAATCACTATTCTGGCCAGTCTTATGATACCCGCTTCCCACATCCACAGGCCTCCCAATCTCCTGGGCCACAAACCAACCCTGAGACAAGCTAGGGCAGGCTCCTCCTCCACCTTTAGGGCCTGACGTCTGCTTCAAGACCATTCCCCTGCCCTCTATTGCTCCCCAGGGTCCAGGCACCCCTCCTTTAGGGCCTCCCATCACAAAGGGCTGATCTTACTCTCTTTTCCAGACAATTGAGCTTGATTATCTAAAACTGGGCCCAGACCTTTAAATCACAAAAATCCCTTTATACACTGGCTTCAAAAAGGCCCGACTTGGTCTGGCGGCTCCCCATTTTTTATCCTTAAACACAAAGGCTGATTCTATGTAGACTGGTGGGACGTCTTGCCTCAGTGGTGACTCACACTCCCCAAGGGAGCCTTCGAGATTCCCTCATTCTTCTCTAAATACAGTAGAGGTGAAACTGCAAGTTTAATCTCCGACAAGACATTCTGCTACAACCTCTTGTCCCAAAGGTTAAGGTGTTACAGGACACATCTGCAGCACATAAAATGCAATAACAAGCACCGTGTTCGTTACATATTTAATACCTTTTGTGAGGATTGGTGTGAATGACAGCGCTTGGGGTGGGCACTGCGATGCCCCTCCAAGATCTCCTGTAGCGAAGGACTGGTAGATCCAGCTGCTGGGAGTGGTATTGAATCTTCTATATCTTCGGGGACTGCCTCAGTGGTAGGCACCCTAGGGCACACCCCTTTCTGGGGCAGCTCATGATGACTTTGTGATGAACTTCACATCCTCTTTGCTCCCATTTCTCCTCAGCTCCTATCCTGCTCCAAAAGGCTATTGGTCCAGCATCTCCTGAAGAAAGGTGCCATGTCCTAGGCTTCCTGGGGTTGCCTGCTGGGTACCAGTGTGCTGCGGCCCTGCTTAGCATTTGTGATGACAGTTCACAGAACGTGTGGCAGTGGATTGCCTGTGGTCAGCAGGAAGTTTCTCCCACTTCTTAGCAATCATCATTTCATGTGAATGCAGGCATGTGCCGATGTTTCGGTCAACGATGAGCTGCATATATGACAGCGGTCCCTTGACATTATAATGAAGCTGAAAAATTCCTATCACTTAGTGATATCATAGCCATTTTAACGTCATAGCGCATTACTCATGTGTTTGTCGCGATGCGGGTGTAGACAAACCTTCTGCCCTGCCAGTCATATAAGAGTATATAGCACATACAATTATTTACAGCACATGAGACTTGATAATGATAATAAACGACTATGTTACTGTTTTATGTATTCACTATACTAAACTTTTTATCATTATTTTAGAATGTATTCTTTCTACTTACATAAAAAAAGTTTGCTCTAAAACAGTATGCCGTGTTATGCTGGCAGCAGCCTCTTATATCTCATGGTTACTGTGCCTCTTAATTGCATCATTGTCTCTTGTGCTTGATTTAATCTTGTGTTGTTTTATAAATTTAGTGTAGCCTGAGTGTACAGTGTTTATAAAGTCTACAGTATTGTACAGTAATGTCCTAGGTCTTTGCATTCACTCACCACTCACTCCCTGACTCACCCAGAGCAACTCCCAGTCCTGCAAGTTCGATTCATGCTGAGTGCCCTAGACAGGTGTACCATTTTCTCTTTTGTACCATATTTTTACTGTACCTTTTTATGTTTAAATATGTTTAGATGCACAAATACCATTGTGTTACAGTTGCCTATGGTATTTAGTACAGTAACATGCTGTACAGACTTGTAGCCTAGGAGCCATAGGCTATACTATACAGACTAGGTGTGTAGTAGGCTAGACTATCTAGGTTTGTGCGAGTTCACTCTAAGATGTTCTCACAATGCCAAAATTGCCTAACGATGCGTTTCTCAGAACGTAGCCCCATTGTTAAGCGACGCATGACTGTACATTCTGTTCTTCACCATTGTTAGAAAGAAGACATGTGTCATCCTGGAAATAATTAATTCTTGATAACTGATGGTCACAGGAACGACTAGATAACGTACTCAGAATCACCAGATGATGATGATGATAATAATTATTATAACAAATAATTGTTTGCTATTTATTTTAAATAGTTGTTTACCTTCCTCTTTATAGAACTTGGAATCGGGGTTATTAGCAAATAGGGAGATTTACTGACTTGAGCTTTGCCTCTTGTATCTCCCCCTGTTAGAAGATGATTTCTGAGCACAAAATGGTCAAAGACAGCAGCAAGAGAGAGAACATGGAGGGGAAACTGAGGGGAGGCCCAGGTAATCATCCCCTAGACACCTAGAAGTTGGATTTGTTGAGCTCCACTATTTATTTTGTTACTTTAGTGGATGTTTATGTTTTTGCCTCCCCTTTATCTAGTAATAGCATCTTGATTGTCATTTGAGAAACTAACTGTGATGGTTAATTGTGGGTGTCAACTAGGCTGGGCCATGGTGCCCAGTTCTGTGGTCAAACATTATTCTGCATGTTTCTGTGAGTGTGTTTTTGGATGACATTAACATTTAGGACTTTGACTAAAGCAGATTGTTCTCTGTAATGTAGGTGGGCCTCATCCAATCAGTTAAAGCCTGAATAGAACAGAAGACTGACCTCCCCTGGGCAAGAAGGAATTCTCCAGCAGATGGTCTTGGGACTGGAACTGCAACATTAGATCTTCGTTGGGTCTCCAGCCTGCTGGCCCACCCTGTAGATTTTGGTCTTGGCAGCCTTCATAATTGCATGAGCCAATTCCTTAAAATAAATCTGTGTATATACATATACATCTTTTTGGTTCTGTTTCTCTGGAGAATTATGACTACTACACTAACTTTCTGCCATTTTAGTACATGGGGTTTGGCTGGAGCAGATGCCCACATCCTTGGCTCAAGGATAGAGCATACAACCCAGGTTTGACCTACCAGCTGAGGCCAACCACTAGCCAAACAGTGATTTGTTCACAGATAGACATGTGATACAATCCTGGCCAACGAGACCTAATTCTGGGACATTGGTTGGAACTACTTGAAAAGCAGAGCTCTCTTTCTGCCGCAATTTCTAAGGTAGTAGGATGCAAGCCTGGAGTTGCCAATGGGGCATCTTTACCACCGCTCCAGAGAAACTTTCCTGACAATGAACAACACAAAGGAGGAAAGAACCAATAAATGGGAACACAGAGAGAAAACAAGTACTAATGATGTCTTTTGCATGCTTAGATCCAGCCATGCCTGAAACTAACTGCCTCTGGATTTTTTAGTTACATGAACTAATAAATTCACTGTGTTAGAGTTTGAATTGAGTTTCTGTGACTTTCAACCAAAGGAATCCTCATGGATCCTGTAACTCAGAGGCTTTTTCACCTAGAGTGCATGGGCGAGTGGGTCAGCCCTATCAGGGTAAAGATACATGGGGAGATATGATGGAATGCTCCAGGTTGTTTTGATTATATACCCTGGGAGGTTGAAGCTGTGTGCATGATTGATTAAGCAAGGAGGCCTTGCAAAGCTGGAGCCCTCTGTCATAGCTTGTTGCACTGGTGGTCCTCAATGAACATAGATCCCAGTATTCATGCCCTTGGGTAGTCCTTTGCCACACTGATTCTTCAGGCTTATCCATGTGACTTGCTTTGGTCTGAGGGACATAAGCAAGCATCATGCAAGTAGAGGCTTAATAAGCACTTCCACATTGGATTTTGTCCTCTTGGAATGTTCCCGGTTGGTACCTGGAAGCCATGCTGTGAGGAAGCCCAAGCCAATATGTGGAGAGGACACGTGGTGGAGAACTATGGTAACCTTGTTAACAGCCAATGACAACCAATACAACTATGAGTGAAGCCATGTTGGACATCCCAGCCCCAGCTGAGTCTCCAGACGTCTGTAGCTGCATGAGTGACCAAGGCTGACAGAAGATCTACCCAGTCAGCCCACAGACTCCTGAGAGGAATAATCAGTTGTGGTTGTTTTAAGCCAGTAAGTTTTGGGATGGTTTGTTATGCAGCAATTGATAATTAAACACCCTTCACACTGAGTGTGAGCAAGAGCGTGAATGAAAATAAGTGACCAAGAGCTCCGCTGGGTTTGGTGACCAGTGGTTGGGAGAAAGAGAGCTCTGGGTATGTGTCTTGTGTACATGCTAAAGCTGGCTTGGGCTGTGTAGATTGGTGAGGGGTCAGTCAAGTTATAGAATTCTGCTGAGGCTCCACAGTACTTGGTATCACCCCTCAGGGCCTATATTTCCCTGCTGCCCAGACTCTGCTGGCTTCTGGGGAGATGCAGGACACAGGAGCATTAAGAGTCAGGACTTGGCTTTCTCAGAGTTTCAGCAATAACAGGTCTCCATTCTTATGGTGAAGAAGTGAGAGGTGGTGGTCTATGAGAGGTTCAGGCACCCATACCTAGAGGTGCAAAACTTGGGGGTGCTAGAGAGATATAGGGAAAGCATGCAGCATCCAGTGAGCCTCCCATTTAATTATTTGGACTTATGAAATGGCTCCTCAAAAGGCCACACCAATAGAAGGGGCTGGACCCTATGATGTTTTCTAAGCCACCCAAAATCTATTTTTGTGTTTTTGTGTGTGTGTGAAGTATAAATGAATAAAAGAAGTAGACACCATGAATTATGTTGGTGAGGGCTGTGAGGGGAGGACTTTGAGAATGGAAAGAAGTCTTTAGATTACTAATTATTACTAATATTACTAATAATATTACTTTCTTAAACTTATGGAGTGCTTCCTATGTGCCAGGCACTGTGCTAAGTGCTTTGCATAATTCATCCCATTCAATCCTCAGTACGGTTCCTATGAGGAAGGCACTGTTATTACCCCAATTTCACAGGTAGCTAAACTCAAAAGTTAAATGATTTTGGTTGGGATTTTCTCCAGTATCAGACCCTGAGCAGAGATTTGAGTGCAAGTGGTAAGTGAAAAGGGATGATTCCAGAAGGGAGGAGGAAGTAGAGGCAGGGAGTGAAAGCAATTGTGGACAACTGGGGAACTCTGGGAGACTGTAGAACACACCTCAGAGCTGTGCCACCCAAGGGCGAGGGAGCTGGGGGATTTGTCCTCCTGCTCCTGACCTCATCGGCGACGACTGCTCTGGGGAGTCCCAACTTTCTTGGCACCTCTGTCCTGACCTGTGTAAAGTGGTGTTTGCTCCGGCAGCCAGAGAAAACCCTTAGGCTTCTTGCAAGTTCTTGCAGTAAGGCGCTGCCAGCTTGCATGGGAATAGAGAGTGCTGAGTGCACGCAAGCAGGGAACTAGCAGCATCTGCCACATCGAGTGCTTGCCCAGGGTCACAGCCATGGTAAGTTGTGGAGCTGCAATTTGCGCCCAGTCAACCTGACTCCAAGTCTATGCCCTTGACCTCTGTGCTCCCTAGCTTCTCTATTGGTGAAAAACAGCAGACATATAGACAGTGCCTTTTCTGGTGACTCATTTTAAACGGGTTTAAAATGATTCATTCTAATAAAGGCAAAGCCACAGCTTCCACACCTTGAAAGAACACCAACGAGTCTGTAAAATAAATACATCGTGACACAGCCCTGAGCTGCTGCTGTTTTAGAAAAATACTCCCCGCAGACGCCGACCTGCTGCTCGGGAGGCCCTCGGAGGCAGGCGCTGCTCTGGGTTGGCTGCATCCCCCCTGAGAGGGCGTGATTGGCCCCCATCCAGGGGCAAGGAGTGAGATCAAAGGCCCTGTGCAGTTTCTCACTTGTGAGAGCTTGGTGAGCTGCGTCATTATAAATGCCTTTTGTGGGCTGCAACGAGCTAAAGGTGCAAACACAGCATGTATGTCCAGTGTGCCAGGCCATGTGGTTTCTGGTCGGCCTAGATTTCCATGGTGGGCCCTGGTCCCCAACATGGCCCCCATGCCCCCAGGACACATGTATGTCGGATAAGAGGTGGGCAACTTGAGAAGCAGAATTCAGTCACTGAAGAAGGATGGGAAAGAAGCAGGAGGTGGGGGATGGAAAGGAGAGTGTGCCAAGGGCTCTGCCTTTTGCAGGAGAAAACCTTGGGCCTCAAGAAAGCACAAACCCCATGGAGGCAGAGGAGATTAACTCCTGTCCTCTGGAGAGAGCCTTTCAAATCCGGCCTCGGGCTATAAGCAATCCTAAACTGACTCAGAGCGCTGAGCCCAAGTGTGCCCACTTGAGAATCAAGACTACGCTGTTCAGTGGTGGAGAGTTTGAGAGAGGCAGCCTCGGGGACACTCGGGGCCTGAGGAATGGCAGGACCTTGGTGCTGGCAGGGACCTCAGAGAGCATGCAACCCACCTTCTATTCGCAGAGAGAAACTGAGGCTCAGCTGCCTGGCCCACGGCTTCTTGGTGGCAGAGCTGGGATTTCAAAACCGGTGGCAGAGAGGGGCAGGTGGAACATGAATCAGGTGTGACCTCTACCCCGACCCTTCTCCACAAGTCAGCTTTTTTTTTTTGCCTGTTTCTCCCTTCCCTCCTGCCTCTAACCCATCAGTTTCCATAGTGGATGAATTTCAGAACAGCCAGAGAATGCCTCACCCATCTCCCTGGGAATGTACAATATATGCTGTGAACCAGTCTCATCAGTATGATGAAGAAATAGAGAGCAGATCTAATCTATTGGCGTGTTTTTCTAATTACCAGATTGATTTACCAGAGAAGTCTCCCCAGGAATTTGACTTCTCTGCAAGGTCTTTGCAAGCTGCAAATTTGTTCTCTGAAAAAAGCCCAACCAAATCCACACAGATTTGGGGGAACTGGGTCCCTCTAATCAGGGCACAGAGCTTATTTGTTTTCTAATGGAATCTGAATAGAATTTAACACACAGGCATTCCATGTGGAGTGCATTCATATTTTTAATTAACAAATTAGGAGCTATTTTGCTCCCCCTTTGAACGGCAGTCATATGGGCCTGCTTCCTTTTCGGCCAATTTAGTCAACTCGGATGATTTTAATTATAACAGTCACGAGCACCAGAAATTTCTGCGTCTGACAGCTTCGCGACCTGGTCCATTGACTTTCATTTAAAAGCAAGTTCTCCCTGAACAGAGATCTCCGAGGGGGCTGGTGGGCGTCAGGAGAGCGGGCCAGGGACTGTGCCCTTGGGCACAGGCAGAGAAGAACCTCATTTTCCATTTTGAGACCCATTAGTCCTGATTACAAGGTTGCCAGTTCTCCTGGGCTCCACCTTCACATTTTTAAGAAGCGGCAGCACTCGTGGGAAGCCTTGTGTAATGCATGGACATGTAGGAAAATGGTCCTAGCTCTCAAGCTCTCAGCCTTGTCATCTTTTCCTCAGAAACTTGTCCTTGCACCCACGCTTCTCAAACTTTAACATGCACAAGAATCCCCTGGGGATCTTGTTAATAAGTAGGTTCTGATTCAGTTGGCTTGCGGTGGGGCCTGAGATTCTGCATTTTCAACAAGCATGCCAGTGCTGCTGGTCCATGCACCAGACTTTGAGAGGCAAAGCTTTCGCTGGCTTATTCAGTTCTGGGAGACTCCAGTGTCTATAAAGGGGCCTGAAATGTGCTCACATAAAGCTCAGGTGTGGCAGCAGCTAGGTTTGGGTGTGGGAAGACAGGTGGGAGGGCGTCTTGCCGCAGTCACAGTATCTCTTTTGGGGTGCTGCATCATCAAAGACACGCTCACATCCCCTGACACTCACCAGCTTTCCCTCAACATATTTCCATCAAGGTGGTTGCCTGAGCCCTCAAGGCATCTTCAGTGTCCTTGGCAGACCATCACAGAGCAGTTGACCATGT